GACGCGCACCCCCTACCCGCAACCTGTCTGCTGGACCCCAGCTCCAGGAACAAAAGCTTTGTAAAAAGACTTCTGGCTTCACTAAGACACATTAAAGAATTAATTATAAAGTAAAGCTGAAGGAGAAAATTAATTTTAGAAACACAAGAGGTTACTTTTTTTTTTTCCTGGAGATGGGGGAGGAAACACAGTTATTTTCGTTTTCATCCTGGGGGCACAAGCTGGGAGCTGTCCAGTCGATAACCTGGCCATCAGAACAAGGTTTGTAATTAAAAGGTCAGTGACCTGGAAAGCCAGGGCCCTACTCCCAGAGCTTCTCAGTAATGACGGAGCTATTAAATTAAGACTGTTATGAAATCAATGCTAAAAAAGCTTTCATGGTAACGAGATTCCATTCAAGGACATGCAAACTACCTCATGAAATGGACACAAATGATAAAAAAAAAAAAAGAAAGAAAAGTAATAAAAGAGAGTTAAATTGAAATCTGTGTAAGAATTTACTCCTCCTTAAAATACTCCAGTGAGAGAAGCCCTTCACCTCTAGCCCAATACCAAGGTTGAGCCCAGCAGGCTTCTTCCTCAAGTTCATTTCCAGCAAGGAGGCAGTTTTGCTATGGGGGTTCCACTTTCAGGAACAGAGAAGAAAGGTAAAATCTGGTTTCACCTTGCAGAATGAGAAAGTAGTGGTGTGTTTCATTTAGTTTTCCTCTTTTCCATTCCCATCCCCCACACAGTGACTATTTATTAGATGAAAGAGAAAGCGGCCCTTACTAATATACTTCAGAAGAGCACAATAAGTAAAAGTGTCAGCCAGCACCACCCTGGCCCCACTCTGCAGGATTGTGCAGAAAAACACACGACATTAATCTTATCCCACAAGCCTGCTTTGCAATAGGTACCCAGGAGCAGTCAACAGACAGGTCTATCTCCTGTGCCACCCTAACTCCTCCTGCCCCTCTACCCCTTTGTAGTCAGCCTGCTACACAGGTGTGGAAGAAGGCTGCCTCCCACATCTCCTGGTTGGACAGGTATCAGATCAACCTCTCTAATGACAACTTCCAAGCTTCTAACATTCTGCATTGACTCTGGTGCTGTTTTTCAGTCCCTCCAGCCTGCTGGATCCCAGCCTGATGACAGCCCCAGATAGGATGCCTCCCTGGCAAGAACTGCTTCTATATATAGACCGGCTCTAGGAGGGCTCAAGCCCCACACACAGGCCAATCATCATCGTGTGTGGCTGCCTCTGCACTTGACGTGTCCTCTGCAGAATCGAGAGCTTGGAAGGAAAACAAAAACATTCATCCTAATACTCTGAAGGTGAACAGCTGCTTTTCTCTTTCATCCAAAAAATTCCCGATAAAAGGAAGAAATGCTGTAAATTACACAAAATGGCAGTACAAACTTCAAAGAAAATGATAAATGATTCTAATAACTTCATGTTTCTCATTAATGACTCCATATTCAGACTTTAAAACATCCAAAAGAAATCTCAAAACAAAAACCCTGAAAACCTAAACAAGACAGACCTCTGCAAATCAATGCCCTCCCATGCCCACCCCCTCATGCTCTGCTCCCCACCCCCTCAGAGAGCACAACACTTAACCTGTCAGGAGCAGGCAGGATGCTGCCCCTGCGCTGCGGTTTCACAATAAAACAAACTCAGATGATGCGCCTAAAGTAACCCTCATCTTCCACTGAACTGACATGCACTACAGGGACCTCAATTTCTATATTAAATATTAAATAATATTAAAAGAAAAAATTGGATTTGCCTTTTCAGGAAAGAGATGTTTATTAAAAAAAAGAAAGTCAAGATTATAATTCAAGTCAGTGCTCCACTGCAATTCCCTGAAGTGACATCTGCTAGGAAAAGCCCAGGCGACAGTAGCTGGGAGTGCGCCCAAAACCAGAGCCTCAAACCCACCGCCGCGATCCTGCGGGGAGCTGGAAGCCTGGGTGCCAGAACCCCGTCTGCCCGCCCACAGCGAGCCACGCTCTTCCCTTCCACAGCCACCCTTAGGGACAGCGTAGGTCTCCTGGCTCCGCCACCACCAGAGGTGGTGTCAAGCTGTGTGATCCTGTGAGCCTGACCCAAGGAACAGCAGAAATTCAAAAGTGAAGTTCAAACCCACAAAAGGGCTTTTCTTTCCCCAGACACCCATCAAACCTTGGAGTTCTCTGCCCAGAAAAGGTCCTGCCAGAACTTACTCTACTGGGATCGGAAATGGATAATTGCCGACTGAAGCAGCATTTTAAGAGGATAATGGAGATGGCTGATTAGCCTCGGTGATGCTGGGTTTAAGAACAAGGGTAAACTCGTGTGGCTGTCTTTAGAAAAAGAAGGGTAGGGTAGCTTCTCACAGTGTTCCGAGCACCCAAAATTCTAACAGTGCTAATCCAGGTTAGGGAACCACTCTATCAACAAACACACGTCTCCTTCAGGTCCTTGCTCACACTCCACCCTCTCGCAGTAGCTGACATCCATCCCTCCTTCCCTGCTTTCCGGTCCCCTGGCACCTGTCAGCAGACAGAATACATTCTCCACTTTTCCATTCTGTCACTGCCTGCCTCCCGCCATTAGAATGGCTGCTCCCTGAGGACAGGGATTTTTGTCTATCCCGTTCTCGGCAAATCTCTCGTGGCAAGCGAGAAGCAGGGTGGCACAGGGTGCACACTAACTCTTGGGTGAACTCATTCACCACTTATATTTTTTAAGAGCAGAAAATAATAATTGCACAGAACAGTTTCCTGTCTAGTAATTACGAGCCAAGTGACTCAAAAGAAGTATTTGAGTTCTCTGCCCAGAAAAGGTCCTGCCAGAACTTACTCTACTGGGATCGGAAATGGATAATTGCCGACTGAAGCAGCATTTTAAGAGGATAATGGAGATGGCTGATTAGCCTCGGTGATGCTGGGTTTAAGAACAAGGGTAAACTCGTGTGGCTGTCTTTAGAAAAAGAAGGGTAGGGTAGCTTCTCACAGTGTTCCGAGCACCCAAAATTCTAACAGTGCTAATCCAGGTTAGGGAACCACTCTATCAACAAACACACGTCTCCTTCAGGTCCTTGCTCACACTCCACCCTCTCGCAGTAGCTGACATCCATCCCTCCTTCCCTGCTTTCCGGTCCCCTGGCACCTGTCAGCAGACAGAATACATTCTCCACTTTTCCATTCTGTCACTGCCTGCCTCCCGCCATTAGAATGGCTGCTCCCTGAGGACAGGGATTTTTGTCTATCCCGTTCTCGGCAAATCTCTCGTGGCAAGCGAGAAGCAGGGTGGCACAGGGTGCACACTAACTCTTGGGTGAACTCATTCACCACTTATATTTTTTAAGAGCAGAAAATAATAATTGCACAGAACAGTTTCCTGTCTAGTAATTACGAGCCAAGTGACTCAAAAGAAGTATTATTTGGTCCAGAGTTAGTTTCTCTCTCTCTCTCTCTCTCTCTCTCTCTCTCTCTCTCTCTCTCCTCTCCCTCTCCCAGTCAGGGATTTATTAAAATTAAACAGATTAGATGGAGCTCCTGATACTAAAACTGCTCAGCAAAGCCTGCGGTGGGGAAGTGCCGAGCAAACACCAGAGACATTTGTCTCTAAATTGCTCTAAATACCTTCTGCAAATGAAATTCTAACCCAGCTGCGTTTGAGAGAAAATGAGGACTAACTGGTCATTGTCGGTGGAGAGAAGATCAGACAGTTATAATACTGCACAATATACTGGGCTAAGGATCTCTCGGCAACCATAGATTTTGTCTCAGGTTACCCCGGGTAATCAGCTCAGCTTTTAGGCTCAGCTTTCCCCCGCTTCGATGCTTTGATGAGAGAGCTGAAATCCCCAAGCTTTTATGATTAATTACTCCCCATAGGTACACATATTTCAAGGAAAAACTCTTTTATGACATGATGCTTGCGGAATGGAGAGGCCAGCCAACACACTCCAAATTTTAATAATCTCCTAATGATGGGGGTGAGCCGACGCAGCCAGGGAACACGCAATGCCCCTCACCAACTCTGTTGCAAGGACCAGCCCCGGGAGGCTGCAAAGCAGCTGCCTGTGAATAAAGTGCCCGGGCGTCCTATGCCCAAACACTGGGGTGCAGCCCACGGAGGCGTGGGTGCGGGGCATCCCTGCAGGGCAGCATGGGGCACCAGGGAAGTGTGCCCAGAACAACCATCATCCATTCCCACCGACCCAAAAGTGATGGAAACGTCAGAATTTTAAGGCCAACAATCCAGTTTTTACAGAAGAAAGGAATTTTGCTTTGAGGAAAACTCACTCCTCCCCTGTGTAATATAAAGGCTTTTAAACAACTTCCTAGATTTCTACAAAATTAAAGAGTTCTAAGAATAAAAAGTCCACTTTCCTTTTCAGTTGGTTAATTGTTTTCACTTTACACACACACCAAAAAAAATGTCCTAAATTCCAACAGAACTAGAATAGATTGTGTCTGCTTCAGACCGAATTTGTCGGGATCATTTTGTCCCTGCTTACAGAAATACCATAAAACTAGTAATTTACCACTTCAATCTGTAAGTCAGGCTGACCCCCAGCTTGACCCTAACCTGACAGCATTTAGTCATCTTGCTTCCCTTGCCCTTTGCTTCTTTCTTCCTCATTCCTTACTGAAGCAGCAGCTTCCTTGCCTAAGGCCAGTCATTCCGCAGCTAGGCTCAGTAACAGAAGACAGGACCAGAGAGTAGAGTAACCCACACTTGTCCAGGGGCCAATGTTGCTATGGAACACTGCCTTTGTCGTGGTGTCCTTGGCCTTCTATCTGGTGCTTGATTACCCAAACCATGTAATCTTGCCAGAGGCTCCACTGTTAGGAAGGAACCCTGCACTCTGGATTTGGGAAGTTTCCCAGACCCCCAACTTTACACAAGTACACAGCTGTGAGAGATCTTTGCCGCACTCGGCACCTGCCTTCCACTCTGTGCCTTCCACCTGCCCCAGCCCCAGCCCCAGCCCCACCCACTGTGCAGCCGGAAGCACCTGTACCTTTCTTCTTAAGGAACGCTTTCCTGGTCGCAAGTGGGCTCTGGCGGACCCGAGAATTCTGTAGAAACTTCACTGCTGTGGCAATCTGGTGGGGGAGATAAAACAGAAAGTAAGCTTCAGTTGTATGAATTTCAAGATGAAAAATTGAGAGTTCTGGGCCCTACACTTAAGTGAACACTGTGGTCAAATGTTTAGCTATTTCTTAAATTTCAAATCTACATAAATGCAAGACTAGATTACTAGGCTGGGAGTGGTGCCTCATAACCCGTAGTCCCCCAACTTGGGAGGCTGAGGCAGAAGGATCACTGTGAGTTCAAGGCCAGTCTGGGCTACACAGTGAGTTTAAGGCCAGCCTGAACTACATAGTGAGGCCCTGCTTCAAAAAACAAAACAAACAAAAAAGTGCTATATTACCCGCCTGTCTTCACTGACTTTTGATTTTGACACCTGTATCTGAGTCAATCATATGTAATGCCCAAAACCAAGCTTTGCAGACCTGCAAAGAGCTTTTCCTATCTTCTCTCTGAGCTGCTTCTTCAGCCATGCTCATGGAGTGTCCACCCTTGTGCCACACAAGCCTTCTTCCTCCTTTGGAAGGCCTCCTTTTCCCACCTCAGCCTGTCAACATGCTACATACATACATGCGCTCCTCAGTACAGCCCCTTTACAGCCAGTTCTAACTCCTTGGAATCTTCCTTACATAAGTAAGCCATCCCCGATCTCCCCATTCTCCTCAACTCCTCAATGCTGAGGTTGTACCATATAATTGAAGGCATAATTATACTGTCTTCTGATGTTCAGGCAGCCTCCCCAACTACTCTGCATGTAACTGAGGGGAAGAGACGGTGCTCCTGTAGAGAGCCTGGCAAAGCGCTGAGTGTCTATGGACTAAAAAAAGGGAATGTAAGAGACAATACACGTGGCCGGTCACAGTCCCTCCCATGAATGGAGCTGAATTCTGAAGAGCCTTCAAAGGGCAAAATTGGGGATTCTCTGATATAAGCTGCCAGATTATCTACCTCTGGTGATGAATATTATTTCATGAAATCTTCATAACTACAAATAAGCCAAGGAGGGGGCAGAAGGGAAACTGGTAAAGGCATTAACATCCATAACACTCAGCATACACACAGGCCTGTGTTCACACACTGCCTATCTGCTCCCCATCACAGACACTGGTCCGACTACAGGAAATGCCAGCCTGCCTCAGGTGGCGAAGGGGCCACTTGGAATGAGTGGCACTATTCACAGCATCAAGAACCAAAAGAATCATGTGGTCTCCTGTTGCAGATAAGACCAACAGGCCCACAGTTAGCTCACTTGTGAGTTGTTAAAAACAAACATTTCCCAGGAGCCAGATGTAAGAAAGTTTTCTACAATCCTAAAAGTAAGGGAAACAGCTGTACAGAGCTGCAAACAAAGTGCTATGACTATAAATAAAATCCAAGTCACAAATCATCTCCTTCCCCATATTTATGTCGATTTAATACTGAAATCAGGCAAATTTACCAGAAACAAAAGATGTGAAGATACATCAGAAAGGGAGGGGGGGGAATGGCCAGCGAAACTCCCTTATCTTCCCTGTAATCCCTTTGTGGGAAGCTCACCCTAGACTTCTCCCTAAAGCATGAGCTCCGTGTCCTGACCCTCCTGGTCTGGGCCTGTCACCCAAATGATACACGTGTGCTCCTGAGGGCCACGCCCAGCTCACTGTGGGCCACCATCTTCCCTCTAACACAGCAAACAGCACTGCCCGCCAATACGAAGTACAGTGACAACTAACCATCTTGGGCTAAGGAAAAATCTACCTGGAGCTTCCAGAACCCCAAAACTGTGTATCATCCCCTTAGCTCCTCAACCAGAACACCTCAGGTTGCATCAAAAACCAAGAAAAATCAAATAAGTATCTACAATACTGGTGCATTTTAATGAAGAAATGGAGGGATGAGAGATATATAAAGAAAAGGGAACGAGTGAAAGAGGAAAATAAAAAGGGAGATGGCAGAAAGAGACAAACTATAAAGGGCAAAAAAGTAAATTTTTTTTAAAATGGGGGGGGGATGCCCAAAGGAAGAAAGGCCCATGCTCCAGAAAGGGAAGGGACAAGTATGTACACATCCAAGTCCCGTGGGGTCAACACCAATCTGCACTGCTCAGATGGCTCTGGGATAATTGTTCTTCACCTGGAGGAAAAATACATCTTCAACACACAAGAAAATGACAGTATTGCTATCATGTGGCAGTCTCTGTGGCTGGGATATGTGCACCAGGTGTGGGAGGAAATGTGGATGAACAGGTCTTAGGCAGGAGATGCAAATAGCACAGCTCCCATCATTCACCCACAGAAAAAAGAAGCCTTTCCCGCATCCTCCCAAAATTTCCCATGACAGAGAAAGAAAGCAAAATCCCACCACTAAAATGCACAGGTTTCACCTTGCTTTTTTAATATAGTCCTTGGTATATGCATTTCTGGTCAGAGAGCAAAGTTCTGATGGGTTTAATGGTGCACTCAATGCAGTGCTTGGCGCATTCCATCAATTTTTTTTTTAAAAATTGCATCTCTTATTTCTTTAAATACATTAATCAGCCTAGTGTAGGCAAAACGGATCCATCGGACAATGCAATAAACATGAATTATCATCTATCCAACACGCATAATGGCTTAAAAATACATAATAGCAGGTGTAGTTTAAATGATTAGTTATTACACCTGTGGTGGGTCTGATTCAATTGGGAAAAATCATCTTTAATAGGTTAAAAGGTTTAGATCACCATGCTTTCCTTAAAGTGGCTGCAGAGAGGGGATGATGGAGTGCTCTGTCATTAGTAATTCATTTAAGAAAAACGTGGGGTATATAGCAAAGAACAGCATAAACGAGCGAATCCAATTTAAACATCAGGTAAAGTAGAAAACACCTTTTAAAAAAGCAAGATAAATGAATTTGGAAGGGAGATGAAATTGATGTATTTATTTTAACGGGAATTTGACAAAGTCCCGGCACACTTCAAACTTGCAAAAATATGAACAATTTCTTTTCAAGTTTCCATTCACTAATTTCAAGTCATATAAAATGATACTGCCAAACACCTACATAAAGTGTATCTGGGGCTTGTTTATGTTCCTCTTGATCTTTGTCTGAAAATGCAGGCGACAGGCAAATCGCATATTTAACGGCATCCGTATGTATCACTACACCAGATGCAAAAATATGAAGCACCCCAACTAACAGCCCCAACATAATGTGCTGAACAAGAAAGACCCAGGTAAGCAGCCACATGTAAGTGTGAACCCATGAAAACCTCTCTCCTCCTTTCACTGATTAGTTCTCTGGCTACTCCTCACTTTTCTCCTCCCTCCCCACAAGACACTGGCCCTACAATGGGGGGGGGACCTGTCCAACCTCCAGTTTTATAGCCCTATGATTCATACATTGACAGTAAAAGATTTCCCAAAACTCCTTACCCATAATGCGAAGATCTTCGCCCACTGAATAACTAGCAGGGTGTTCGCTTTGGGTCTTTCACCCACCTATTGTTGGACACTTTTCATTAACTTCATGAAGCAATTCAACTGACTCTCCTCTGCAGAGGCCCAACACACACAAAATGCTTTTGTTGGATTCAATGATGGGTTGCTGCAGCCTGTCCTGTGTTATCGTTTGATTTTCTAATTAGAAGATGAATGTGACTATTCATGGGTTATATTTGTGCCCAAATAAATTACACAAATTCAGGCCAAATCTTCCGCCTCAATGTCAAAGATGTAAAACGGAGATGGGAACTTTATTGCCCATGTTGTGGGAGTGCAGCAAACCCGGGAAAATTCTGACACAAGGCTCCTGATGCCACTGTCGAGCCACTCGCTGTGGAGCCCGTGATAAATACTGAACTGCCTTTCCTCTCCCCTTCTCCTGCACTGATTGAGTTCTTAATGAGTGCACCTCAAATTACCAGTAGCTAAATAAAAATACAGATGACAAACTCAGAAAAAAACAGAAGCAAAGTTTCTCTTGCCCCTTAATCCCTATGGCCCTATCATCTATTCTCCTGCTCCTCCCCAAGCAAAATAAAACAACCTCACCACCATCAACTCCACAATTTTAACAAAACTTGGTAACTTCCATTGGTTATCACTTTAGAGGTAGAGGAAAAACTGAGGTGCAAAGGAAAGCAGTATATTCTTTGCCATCTCGTAACCTAACTGAGGTTACACTAGAGACCTCCAGCAACTCAGAAAAAGAGAAAGGAAAGTCAAAATATTGGCCAAGATGATTGGCCAAATGAGAGAGATTCATGTTTGAGGATTTGTAACTGTATAAATCAGGGGAGTACAGTGTACTCGGAGCTTATGTGCTGTGAACTGTGCGTTGTCAAATGCATCGTGCCAGGTAAGTAATCCCCAGCAGGAAGAATCCAGGTTCGCAACGGTCTTCACCGAAGAGATATTTCCTATGTATTTTCCATTCTCCTACAAAAGACCTGTACATTGTAATCTTCAGAGTGCACACTTAATTTCTGCGCAAGGGTGAAGGGAGAACAGAGCTCACCTAATAATGAACCTGGGGTCTGAGGGACCTTAGCACTTTGCACCTGACATGTTAACCTGATGCATTGTCCCCAGTGACACTTATTTGGAATGCCACCAATTCCAGCACTCCTGTGTACTATATACACATCTATCTCCTAAAACGTAAGCATTCATTAGCCATTTTAAAATATTAAAAATATTCAAAAATTAATGATACTAATAACCAAAGCCAAGTCTTTTTTAAACCCGGAGCGATCACGACTAGAGGGCAAGGGGAAATGGCCAATATGTGGGCCTGAAACCCCACTTCAGCGCCGCTGCTATGCGCTGCTCAGATTAAATTGCCTGTGAAAGGTTCCTCCGCTCCTGCTCTAAAGCAGATACCCAGAATCCTGTTAACAAGCATTAGACCAAAGCCAACTCAAGTTTTAACAAGGGCAGACTTTAAAAGCCAGGCAGTGCCATGAAAGAGAAAACTGTCTTGAAGCAGAAATGCTGTGTTTTAGTAAGAAATCAGTACTCTGTCAGGAGTTCCTTGACAAATATGGTCATCGGTG